AAACGTTGTTACAGAGAAAGAATTCTGGAAAATTCCAAACGTAATCTAATTTGACGTGACAGCCGGAAAGATTAAAGCAGTGCGGCGATACTGCCGGAGATACTTTCTAAGTAAAAAATTGAATGTTTCTCGTAATTGAAATAACGGTCCATCAAGCTAATTAAAAGTGACAGCCGCGAATATTATAAAGAAACGTGCAGCGTATCCGTGACTATTCTAAAAATAAAATTGCATAAACGAGAGATGCAGGATATCATATATCTTTAATCTTTCTGCATACAATATTAACTGCGCCGTTACGAGTGCGCTATCAAATGAAGCAAGAGTGTAATCAATGACGCATACTGGCTCGTTATGTCGCTCGCACGAACTTCGAGCAAACATTACCTACGTGGCAACGAGATCTAAAGGGAAGAGTTTCTCTAATATAAGGAGTGAAACGTCATTTTTTTTTAAGAGGCACAAAAGGGCCGCAATTCCAGAGCTAAATAAATAAGTCGCCCTTCTGCAAAAAAATGGCGTGTCGTTCGTTTCGTGAAATTAACTCATTAACACCGCTGACCCGTCGTGCCAATTCATATACGTGGACAATAATTAACCCTAGAACGCATGAGAGGGGTCGATTTCGACCCCAGGCGAACTTTGAACTACGCTCCTGAGCTAGCGAGTGACATTATTGACTCAGGACCTGAACCATAATTCATTTCAACTCTCTAAAAGTAGGGTTATGTCGGGCGCAGCGTTAGTTGTTCGCTAGCAGTGAAGTAGCACAGTCGCAAAGCGGGCGTGGGGTCGATATCGACCCCAGTCGTGAGTTGCCGTTTGAGTTTCGTCACGGTAAGCTAATTTTATTTTTTTGCTAGAATCAATATATTTCATGTATTATTACGTAATCTGAGCATAAATAGTCATAAATATTATTTAAGACGAAATATCACACAACTTAGTCGGTAAAAATCCCGTTGCCTATAGAAGATTGACATTTCGCAGAAAATGGCTGGGCGATATAATGTTTCATTTTTTTCATATTTTTTACTATTTTGTATCAAATAAAAATAAAATAATACTTGAAATACAATTTTTTATGGTTTTTTCATCGACTTTTTCCATATTTCAACTTTGCGAATTTCTTCATTTTTATAGTCCCAAATAAATATATTTTTTGAACAGAACATAGCGATGACAATTTTTTTCTAATAGTCTAATGTGTCCTCTTTAAAACCCCGTTTGAATTTTGAAAATCGGTTGATTACAAAAAAAGATACAAATTTTTGTTTAAAAAAAGAGGTTTTTGCTGATTTTCTGCGTTTTTCGGTCTTTAAATGGATTTTTCACTAACTAAACTTGAGTAAAATTAAATTTACCGCATACCATTCTCTTCGTTATTAAAAAACGAAGAAATTCATATAGGTTTAAAGGCCCTTTATTTCTGTAGGACCGGTTTTACGATCAAATAAAGCGTGGGGTCGATATTGCCCCCAGTCATGCGTTAGAAGGTCAAAAAAATGATACATGCGTTCTAGGGTTAATTACGGTTGTACCCCCCTTGCGAACGGATATCTCGTTAAGAGAAGAATATATCCGACACTTGAATTAATTACGAACCTATTTTAAATAAATAATATTGCTAAATGTAGGCCGTGGAGATCGGGAAATGCATAAATATGATTAAATATTTAATTAATTGTATTTAAATTAAAGTTGTATGTATGTCAAAGGATTAGACTTTTATCTCATCATAATCATGGTTTTATTTTCGTTACCATAACCACACACAACACGAATAATTATTATAGCTTCTTCCTAGAAACGAGAGATACGCACGTGCGAGTTATTGGAGCATTTAATATATAATTATTCAATTATGAATCGCGTGCTGGACATCAGGGAGCAATTAATCATGAATTCAGTAAAACACTCGGAGCGTCACCCTGTAAATTTGTTCTTGTCAGCACGGCAAGACGATATATATAATCAGTTCTTTTTTTCACAAAATATTACACGTCTGACGTGTTGTATAAACTTGTCATGTGATACCAGATGATTCAAGATAATGTTGTGAATAACAATTTGATGATAACTTGAGATGCGATGTTTAAATAGTCATTCCTAAATCCTAGAAAAGATAACGCTCATAAACCTATATGATTTCCCTGAATTCCGTTTATTTGCAAGGATTTTATCATTTTTTTAATGCAATTTACCAAGAGCAATTTACAGAATGGCATCTTTTCGATTATAAACCGCTCCTTTATGCACAAATGCTACGAACACTCACCAACTTGGATAATTAAAACAATTGTGATAAACGAGTAGAACGAGGAAAATGAGTATACACTTTTCTTAGTCACAAGCAAGAAACTCAACCGTCTTCTTTTGCGATAAAAACGTAATGACTTTTCGGAAAGGTAAATTATTCATCCGCGATTTACGTGAGCATAAAAATGTTAAACGTTTTCTTTAACTACTCTTCCACCTTCGTTCAGCTAGAATACGTATGGAAGAAATTTCTTGTCGTAGAAAAAAAAATAGAACGGTGAGTTCCATTATAAAAGTTTTACCAGGATTGGTGCTTAAAACGCCCTGGCCCTTCGGTCGTGAGCCCTCGGCAGATGTTTCACCACCCCACCAAGCCGCACGGGGAGCCACGAGAACGAACCCCGTCGTTTCATTTATGGTTCGTTTGGGGATCCTGTACCGAACACATGTTGGGCACAGGCCACGGCGAGCTGGACGGCGTAAAACAACACGGCAATAACAAACGTGAACTCGTTTCATTGTGCTCATGACGCGCAAACTGTCGGTCCCGTCCTTTCAGAAACCCCATCAAAGCCATTTCAATCGATTAAGTCGCGTAAGGGTGTCGCCTTTAATGCACCACAGAATTAATTGAATGCGGTGTTGATAGAACATCATTCTTATCACGAGGCGATTGATTGCTTTTATTGTTCCATCGATTTCTCGTGTTTTCTAAGTCTCCACAAAAAAATTTCATTTACGAATCATATCGTAACGCTATCGTAACAGCTTTATAATAGCAACAGTCGGAATAATTATTATTTTGACAATAATCGACAAATGAAATAGATACATAATCATACTTTAGATTGCGTCATGTTATCATACATCAAGAGATACGGTAGTGTCTCGCGCCTAGTACACGCGAAGCGAGACCGCACCGTGACTCTTTTACGCGACGCGATTAATAGTTATTTGTGTAACAAGTGCGGGAAGTTGAGAATTGGACACGAGTGCGATCACCCGCACTCGTGTCCAATTCTCATCCCGCACGTGTTACACACCCTATTTTATATTACAAAGTGCGTGGAAAGTGGCCCATTATTGCGCGCGCGTCATCTGTGCGACGGATGGCCGATTCCATACACGAGTCAAAACAGTGCGGTAATGTTACATTACCGCACTGTTTTGACTCGTGTATGGAATTGGCTATTTGTCACACAGATGGCGCGCGCGTAATGGGCCACTTTCCACGCACGTGTGATATAAAGAGTATTCCGGGACGTGTTTTATACATTACATCAGGTATTACAGGAAAGAATTTACAAATTGCAATTCGGTTTTAACATGAATATTTTTTATTAAGCGGTCTGATAGATCATGGCATACTTTCTTTGTAAACTTTTTGAATTTTTGCAATATCTTCAAAACTGAAGAAAATATAGTACACAAAAGTGTGCTGTGACGCCATACTTCATATAAGAAATGACGTCATACCTTTTGAAGTTGCCGTCATCAAAGAAACTTTAGCAAGCTATAACTTTCTCAAATTTAGGTCTTTTTTTTTAATTCAAAAAGTATTAAAAATTGGCTTAGATTCTCTACATTAATTATGGATACCGCTTAATAAAAAAAAAATGTTAAAATCGAATTGAAGGGTATACAGGAGAAAAACGATCAAGTCTATCCGGAGTAATTTCTGAGGGTTCGAGAAAAACGCAAGTTTCAAGACATCAGATATCTTGGGATATCAATTGAACAAAGTATTAGATAATGAATATCAGAATGCAGTGTTTACTTAATGTTTACATTGGATTTAGGTTGGATTCTGATGGTTTTTCCCCACAAGCATGTGGATTATGATAGCTTTTATTTCTCGGCCTTGTTTCCAATGAATTGTAACTGTTCTTGATCAAACAGACAAGAATTATGAAAGTTCTTTGAAAATACCACAAAATAGCATGATCAGATTAATTTCGACAAAAAGTGGACTTTGATCGTTTTTCCTCTGTACCCTTCAATTATACAGGTGATTCTTTGACAGCTTTTGGATACCTTTTTTTTCTATTGTCCAATGCAGTACAAGCATGCATATTTGTACTACGTTACTCGCGTGATTTTCTACCCCGTTCATGTGGGGCAGGATAAAGCCGTTACCGTCAATGTACAGTTCAACCGGCATGTCAGCGAAAGGGTGTCCGAAAAAAAACCGGATCTTTTTTTTCTTTCGATGCATACAGAAAGCGCTTTCAACCCCCGGATGCAAATATTCCGCTCGCAACCCTCCGTGTGACGAGCAGTCTACGCTCTACCTATCTGGAGGCCCGATATTTCCGCAATGGAGCGTCACCCCTTCCGGTTGCGCAAGTACAACATCAGCGGCGATCCATCGCAAAAACGTCCCACGCGGAAATCCCGCGCCGACCGCGTCGAGGCCGCGATAAGAGTTCGTGACAATGAAACGGATCCTCTGGTAACCCTTTGCGTCTCGGAACGATTTTCTATTCGATCCACGCGTCGCCCTTCCGCCCACGTTCTACCTTCTTCCTCCCCCCCCCCCCCTCTCCCCGTCGTCGTCGATCCGCATTGTCGTCTCCGTCTGCGTTTCGCAATTCACGCTCTGAGCTCTGAGAAGGCTCTGAGACGGAGCTCCCCCGCCCCGAAGACGTGGCGGCGAGAGCACATGTGTACCGGCGCGGCGCGGTGGCAGCGTTGCGGCTGCGGCGTTGCGGCGCCGCGAAATATGACGGGCTGTACGTGCCATGCCATTACGTGCGCCCGGATTTCGACGATCGGCCGACCGCTCCGCTCCTGTGGAGACAGTCAGTCGTTTCGAGGCTGCCGAGTTGACCGGGCGTCTAGTCGAGAGCTGGTGGAGAGCCGGGTTGTTCCGCGCTGTGTATCTCTCTCTCTCTCACACACACACACACACACACACACACTCTCTATCTGTTTTTCTGAAACCGTCATTACTTTTCTTTCACGCCTGCCCGGTGTTCCTTCCTTTGTCGGCCGCCCCATCGAGATTTCGACGACGAAGGACCATGGCGAGTACCACGATCGCGACGATTGTACTGCTGGCGGTGATCCGTAAGTTCGATGTAACGCAGTCGTTTTATTATACGTTTGGAACAAATATTTAGGATATTATTCGAACGGGGTAAATATTATGTCTCGCATCGTGCTCCAAAAATAAATTGATATAAAGACGGATTTGTGCTAGTCGAACACTGTTAAATATTAAAGGATGAAATTTCAATCAATGCCTTAAGATAACATTTTGTTATCGAAATTTATTATTTTAACACAAAACAGTATTATTTAAACTCCATTGATCTAATTAAATTAACATTGTTTTAATTAAATTGACGACATTTTTTTTTCAATGGAGCAGTGGTGACCTACAGGAATAGTTAAAAATGACTCAAATTGAGTATAATGTAACACTACGATTTAACAGTGAGTTGCACGCAGTTGAACGGTTTACTTTTATTACGAGGAAAAGATGGTTTCCTGGAGTCAATTAATTATTAATGAACGACTTAGATTCCTGTTATTTTATTAAGAATACCGAGAGAGCTCGCGACGATATATTATTAAATTAAGTCAGTGTTGTTCGTTATTCCAAACAGAAACACCGTCTCGCACGTTAATAAGATATATCACTCAGGTGAACGTTGCTCCGCATAAGAATATTAGAGACTCCTCGTTCGGTCTCGAGGGACGGTATACGTGGCGCAAAACCTGGTTTGTTGACAGTTTGCTGATGTTCGAACATATAACAGCCGCTACGTTCAGGCACGAGAATATAAATCACCATGCGAGAAACGGTCTTTGGGTCGTTTGCAGGCAGTTCGAAATGGAGCTCCGCAAAACCGGACGTCGTGTATCGATCCTATTTTAAAGCCGCATCCTGGCACGACGGTTACGAGCCTGACACTTAGCAGATCGTGAAATCGAGAGATCTGGAGTATCTTTCTCGACCGCGTAAAACCGTGGCCTCGCACTCGCTTCACGCGCATTGAAAAACCAAACGCTCCTCTAATAGACGTATCGATTTTCTTTTTTTGTCGCGCCACTCCTCTCCTCGCCATCTCCTGCTCAGCGGGAGCTTCTTCGAGGGTTAAGTCGTGTGAGTAAAGTTTGCGCCGAGCGTAAATCGGATGGAGCCTTCGAAATTTGGCCGAGAGAGCTTAGCGACTTCTTAGTCTCGCGTTCGGAATTCCCTATTCGATTCCGCGAACGGAAATCGCACGAGGTTCGGAAAGTTGATTCGCGACGAGACAATGAAATCGACGATGGACCGTCGCCGACCTGGACGAGCGAGTTGCTCAGTGGATCATGACTTCACGATCGAGGGGCTTTTTATAGATCACGTCGATTCAAATGTCCCGGCACGTTCGACGTCGCGGCGAGCAAATGAATAATTTTAATGGAAAGCCAAGTCCGTCAAGTAGGTAGAATAGAAAGTTTCGCAATTTAAATCAATTCGCGGCATACAATGTCCCAATTAAAGGAGAGCAGGGCGTGAAAGGGACTTTATACACGGAGCACGGTAACGAGGTCTGAGATGCGGAGCGGTCGGAGCAACTTTCGGTTAACGCCGATTGTAGTCAATTAAGTTGCCTTTCGCTCACACCTCCGCCGATACGCAACAACAACAACCTTTCCCAAAGGATTAACTCAATCGCCGTCTTCCAAGCTGATAAGGGTGGTTCCCCAGGATTTGGAGGACGCGGCTTGTCGGAACGGGTGACACATAATAAATCCTCCTCATCTCGATCCGTCCCTCAATCGATCGCTAATAATAATCTCACGGTGACGCACGTCGGCCGACATATATATGTCCGCGTGCTCGACCAGGCCTTTAGCGTCTTACATTAAATTAGCCCTTAATTTTAGCCGCCGCCGCTCGATTACGCGACGGGTGCACAATTAATTTCGGGATACACACATACACACACAGAGGCAATATTTACCGTACACACGAGCGTCGCACGTTTGGCTTCCTTCCGTCGGTTTGGCTTTCCTTCCTCCTTCCTTCTCCGTAAGTAGGTCATAAGACCTATCGCACATTATCCTAACTCCTTCGTTTTTAACGTACGAAAGTACTTTTCTCTTGTTTCCGACATACGAAAGTGTGGAGCAACTGATCCTACAGCGAAACAATTACGCGATCGTGTTTGCTATTCAAATAGGAGCAAATGTTTTTCAAATACATTTTTCTGTTGTATCAATACCTGTCGCTAGAAGGGAATGCAATTAGTATATCTCTCAAAAGGCATCCCGTACGATCCTGGTATCCACGCTAGCACGGCTGTTGCTTATAAAGCGTCCGCAAAAATAGATTAATGCCGTGACCATGGCGATGGTGGCATGTAACTTACATGCCGTGCAAAAATAGCACGAAAATAAACTGTTTTTAGCGCAACTTTGCTCCCGTCTACGACCGCGGTTTATGTGGTAAGCGCACAGGGCGGCGGAAAATATAAAAATAGGGCTAGCATAATTCCTTCTCGTCGAAATTTCGATCGTATATGCACGAATTTCGCAGTGATAATTTCACGAAAGATGTAAATATTTGTGTAAAAATTCAGGAACGTCCATCTTTAAAACCGATAAAGGAGAATACTTTTCGCTATTATTACGAGGCTATTATCGATAAAGATGGAAACAGCCGCGTGACACGCGCAAACAATTAGCTTACGGAAAATTAAAACTCTCGTGACGTAAGTGTTTCTCATTACGAAAATGAATTATGTAGGCAGGGTGACCAGCCAGGCGGCAGTTAGTTGTCTATCTGAGCCTAGTAACGACCCTGTATTTTTTGGCGAATTTACGTTTCAAGAGAATTGTACACGTTTCAAAATGTCGAAAAGATGCTTGTTTCCTGCGCAATTGTTGTACGTAAATGTCACAATGTCGCACATAAATAATTCACGAGCAATATTATGATGTATGTCGCAAGCCTTCATGACGTACACTCAGATATACATTAACGTAGAAATAACAACATTAAACAATTTTGTATATTATATTTCGCTGTAGCAGCAAAATACGTTTACTAATAGCGACGAGAAGCAGGATTTTAGTCATTGATTGTACGAACTGGAGGGTGGGAGGGAGTACAATGACTCGTCGTAAATAATTATATCAAGACGTGCTAAACGGTGAAAAAAGGACACAACAAGTTGGCATTGGATCGTGATGTTATTACGCAGCGAGTTATGAAGCTGTATTCGCGATTTAAACGTTTAAATGCTTGAACTCCTCGCAAACCAATTATCGAGGAATATTCCGAAACAAAGCAGAATCGCATTTCAATGCCATATGACCGTGTCGTAATCTACAACCCTGGTCCACCGGTTTTATTATCATTTCGACAAAGGAGATATACTTTATGTATGCGGAGATATCGCGGAGATAGGATTTCGTTCTTATCTGGAGCGAAGAAAACTGACAATGAATCACCATCGCGACGTCGCTGTTTGATCATCACCTGAGCAGAGCTTATTTGAAATCATACAGTTTACATGAGATGGAAAAAATACGCGCTGATAGAAGCGTGTTTATCCGCGATAAGCGGAGCAGAGCGCTCATCGTTCGGTTGCATGCTGTAGCTAGGGTAAATGGTGCACTTGCACTTCTCCGATATCTGGCGAGCGTGTCCGAGCCGGCGTAAATTTGACCGAGATGTAGATTGGAAATTCACCGGCTTCGTTGTAAATGCGGTCGTTGACTTTGGCAACGGGAGCCGGGAGCGCAGCAACGCTTAGTGAATCGATTATGTGAATCGCGATCCACGTTCGAGCGTAAACGATTGAGATTGGAGCGAAATCATTGTCGCGTGAGAATCGACATGGTCTATTAGGTTTCGTTAAATAAAAAGGATCTAATTTTATAGAGAGAGATAGAACAAATTTTTTAAACGCTATCATGCAACCGGCTTAAGCACAGTGCACGTCCGTCATAAAACGATAAAACGAGAACACCTATCTGTCTGATAATAGTGTTTTCTCTCTTTTTTTTGTAGGCCAAGATAATTCTCATCAAATGATCCGTCCTATCTCGATCTTCGTCAAGTCGCGATCGGTATTTAAAAAAGAATCACCCAAATTTATTATTACGCCGTGTATGACGTCTGTGAATTTGCCCGGGTAACCATATCCTCCATAATTAATCGGTTTGTTCGAGTTTCTAGTGAGATTTGGTATCAAATATGATATCAATATCCTACACGTGTAAGCCGAGGTCAAATTCCAAAACTTCGTCAAACTTTTACGCTCGACGGAATCCACGATGAAAGCTTCTTGGCCTAAACCATTAAACCTTGATTTGAAGCATTAATGCGAGGTCTTTATAAACTCTTCCTGCCTTGGTCCTGTTACATTGATATTATAATATAATACAACGCGCGTGTGGCATACGAATTATAGAGTATAGTACACCCTCCGGAAATCAATCGCGATCTGTTTGTAAGTTAAATTAATATTGGTCCTGTTACGCCGCAACGGTATTGAATACGTTCCGTGTTGCGTAAATCCATAAAATGGTCCATTCCACTGGCGCGCGAGTGGTCAACATCTGCTGATACCGAAGTGGCACTTCTGACGGCAGCACAGAAATTTACGCGAGACCTCGATAAACGTTAAAATAATCAATTTAGAGAAACATGATACATCGCACTTTATCTAAAAATATATATGAAATATACACACGCGCGAGTTTAAGTTTAAACAGCTCGAAACAAGTGTGGCAGGTGGCCCGTAAGCTATTTGTCGTGCGGTACGCGTTATTTGTTTATCATCAGCCTGTCAATATGTTACGTTTGGTCTCATGACGCGCATAAATCATTCCTTGATTCGCGCAGTTTGTGCACGCCACAGTTCGTAATCGCTACAGTTTGTAATGATCTTTAACACCTGAAACTTTATTCCTCGTCTTCGAAGATGATCGAGTATCAAGCCATAAATTATTGCCAATATATCTACAATTATTTAAAATCGAGAATTCAGAAACATCGATTTTCGAAGAATACAATTTAGAAAAAAGTTAAAAAGCTATATGACTATACTTTTTTCAATTTTTATAAAGACTAGAAGTATCGGTTACATCGAAAAAGTTACTCTCTGATCCCCATAAAAAGTTTCAGATAATCCGCGACCTAATCTGCATCTCCGTGTAGAGCTGGACTTGACTGACACGAAATTCCGTTACGCAAATCCGAGATATCAAACTTACGTTCAAAGTTTCAGATTGCTGTTCTCGACCGGTCGATTTCCTTACCTTGATCGAGATTTAAGTTCCGCGGCCATAAGTCACGCTTTGTCAGCCGGCTGACTAAGGCGAAACGTGAAACCCGCTCGGGATCCGCCTCGCCGGCGCGCCGCGGCGAGACGATCCGAGCCATCGAAAACGCGTTCCGAAGCGGAAGAGAGATCGGTGGTTATAGTCGCGGCTATTTGCAAACTTTACGGGGCGCGGTGACGCGTGAAAGATGCTTTTATGTAGGTATGCAGGGCTACGAGGGGCATCGAGTTCTTTTGTATCGCGAAAGGCAAGCCACGTTGAGATGGCGGCGCCTGTTCGCGAGGCTGCTGGGAAGCACCGACTCGATATTCCCGTTGCGTTCTTCGTCATATCCTCGCGATACCCATCGCGTCGGTGTATGCGAGCTAAGAAAATACAGCTACCGCGATAAAGCGCCGCTCGAATCGTTGCGCAGCTGAAGGATGGCCGATACATCGTTCACGACGTTTGACATTCTCCGGCGAGGCAAGCACGATAAGGCTCGATGCTCGGTTTGGAGAAATATCGGAAATCGCCAAGACAAAATTCCGCAGGGACGGGAAGGAAACATTTTATTTTCTGTAATTTTCCAACGTGTACATACGGGGGAATACGGCTATATCATGTCATTTATTAACGGAGCACGATACTTTCCAGGAAGATTGATTTCCTTGATGCAATATCGTTCTCTTCCTTTCTTTTTCTAATTTCTTTAAGTGTAAATATACATATATCCATCACTCGAGTGAATATATTATTCGTTGCCTTAGCCTCGAAGTTAAAATCAATCCATCAAAATTAATAGAATTTCTATTTTCAATTTAAATCAATTTGTTTTATTTTGCAAACATATGATGGGTATTTCCACTTGTACAAAGTTTTATTGCCGCCTTATCGAAACTATCATGATTGTTTTATTGCACCAAGTTGTACATTACGCACTCGACGTCATGCCTTTATTTAACAAGTTGAACATTTCAACGGATCGATGAAGACATTAACGGATATATCGTTAATATCCTAATGGCCTAATACATAAAGATGCATCAGTTTGAGCGTATTACTTAAAGGCGTTATGCATCGCATACCATGATTGGTTATTCGCTGAAAGCAACAAAGCAGCTTGATCTGACAGCTTGACAGTTTCACATTCGACGTGTGTCCATAAAGTTAAAAGATAAAGAACAGATTATGCAATTCCAAAAAATGAAATACTCATAGATTAAGTGGAATTTAATGCTAATTTGAATGCTAATTTTGGGTTTAAATTAAATTTAATGTTCTAATTTATGCTTTACAAAAATCGTATAAATCATTAAATTGTGATATTATGTAATAAGAATCTAGTGCAAATGACCGAGTGAAAACACATATGACCGAATACGTGAAGAGTGAACGAGAGGAAACGTGAATATGCGAGACTAAAAAGCACGTAGTTTGTAAAAATGAAAATGCCTGCCGAAGATAATTTAAATTATAATAATTAATAAGAGAAAACGGAATTCTAAAAATATTCTACTTAAAAGAGTATCTACTATATTTTGCGAAAATTTCATGAATTGTATTAAATGATATACCTAAAATATTTGCGAATAACTACACTCATACATATCGTAATATTATATACTCATTTTTCGTAGCCAATCCTATTGAAAGAATTTAATTCAGATTATTAAACTTCCAAAAATCAATAAATTGTTTTTAAAAAAGAGAAGTTTCAAGAATCATAACTTCAAAGATTCGTAGAACTTTAAATTTAAAAACTCGAAGATCTGTAAAGTGATAGGAGCACATTATCAATGTAGGTCAACAGTATGTTAAAAATTGTGGAAACTTCTATTGTACCGAGATATTTCTGGCATCTGACATACATCACACTATGCATGCGTTTCGAAACACGTTTATTTTTATCGTGTAGACTGTAGCGTAATATCTCTTCTGATATAAGAAAACTTCCAGACGCGACGATAAAGCTCACGGAAAACGCGGTGCAATGATGTGTCGCGTTGTTAGGAAACGTTACACCTCGAAAGAAGATAGACGATTAATCGTCCGGCCGATTAGTTTGCCCGAGCCTCGGTCGAGGATCAGCTCAATTGCCACGATCTCATAGCGTTCGGTCGCACGAGCGGACCTCGACCGCTCGTAACAAAAAAAGAAAAAAAAGAAGGCCCGCTCTTGAAATTTTCCCCCGTGGTCGGACCGGTTCGAGCACAGTGCGGTCTCTGTGCGGGATCGCCGGACCGGAAACGGCCGTTTCGAAGACATTGTAGCGGCAATATGCCTGCCAGAAGGGCGAAGAGCTTAGATTTTTGGCGAGGACAAAGGGGCGCAGGGGCGTATCTATAAACGGTATATGTGTTTCTCTCGAGCGAGTCAGGCGTCTAAGAAAAAACTTTCAGATATTCAGAAAAAAAACTGGCTCTAAATGAAACACCATCAGGCGACGAGGATCGAAATGAATGTAATATGGCGTGACTAGTTGAAATATGATTTGCTGAGTCATCCCCTTGGTATCGTATGTCTAAGCACACATTAACTCTCCGTACGAATGTCATTACATTAAACCGGGAGTGGCCGCTAACTTTGTTACGGTATCATTACTCGACAAATGCAATTCGCTTACCTGCAACAGTTCTTCCAGCCATAAGCAAATTATGCAACGTATTCTTTCTCGCTCTCTCACAAATGATGGATATTTTCCAATAATGGGGTCTCTGTATGCGTAACGTTTTCGATATCCCTCTTGCTCATCGCGGCGTGAATTTCATAAAAAGATTTAGAATTTCTACAGAGAGACATATATGCAATCCTATACGGGTATGTTCAAATAACGACGATTATTAGGCATAAAACAAAGTGCAATGGAAATGTATGGGCAAAAGACTGCTATTAATGCTTAAAAAAAAAAAAAAAAAATTGGCACAGCATCTCTCTATCTGCTCGGTGTGAGTCCGGATTCACCCCGTGATCGCTGGACCGGAAACGAGTCAGCTGGAATCATTGGCGCGGCTACGTGGCTAGTTATCGATTTTTCGCGAGATTTCTTTTTTCCTTTCAGAGAGGTTTGCAGAAAATAAATTCCGAGCAACTTAACGAGCATAGTAATTTAATCACGCTAACCTGCGGGCTACGCAGGGAAAAAAGGCTCCCCGCAAAGTTTTCGCGCTTCACAAGCTGCTGGTATAGACAAGGAACAAACACTGCCTTCCGATTGTAAGCTGATTAGCCGTTGGAACTTTCTTATTACGGTCGATATCAGTATTAGACTTTAAATGACACGCCCGCATTGTATAAGCATAATATGTCTATAGAACTTTTATCATTTTCTTCTCTCTCTCTCTTTCTCTTTCTCTCGGGGAAAGCAGAAACTTTTAATCCAAATATTGAGAAAAGGTAGTAATTTAATTTGTTACGAAAATATTTGAAAGTACTCTTACCTCTTTGTGAGATTCTCTGCCAAATTAAAAAATAAAAAGCAATCGTTTTTTAGCGGACCTCACCTCTATGACGCAAGTCGGTTGTGTTGATCGTTTATAAAAAAAAAAAAAGATATCAAAAGGGCTCGGGCGGGAAGGCCAATCGCAATTTGTTCGGAGGGGTCATTCGACGTGCGCAAAGTTTGCTCGCCACATGGCCCCCGGAATGTACCGGAAATGATCTAATCCACTGGGGAAAGAGAGCCGTGGAATTTTCCATGAAGGCGCGACGACGTAAATCGACGCAACTCAGTTATTAATTCATCCCGACTACGTATGGTCGCCGACCGTGTACGTACTCGTTGCTCCGCGTGCAATCGGTACCTATCTGTGCCACTGAGCAAATCAGCGCAAACAACAAAAAAAGAAACGAAAGAAATATCCACGCCGTTGCGAGGAGCAATGTATATCTCTCGCCCGGCGAGATGACCCCAGGATTCGCGCGGTCGCTCGTTCCCAACTAATCGCGACGGTTTCGCGAAACGCCGCTAGCCGCTAAGACGACGACGGTTAGGGGTGGAAGCCGCTCGTAATGAACGTGACAAATGAACGTGATTATATCGATCGAACGTCACAATAGGAGGAGCTTCTCGGTCGTCTACGGTTGCCGCGTCGCGCGAGGAATTCTCGAGTCCTCGCTCAATTATGGAAGCGAGCCACATCGAGTATTGGGTCATGGGTCGCGGCGGTTTCGAGAATATACCGAGATGAGGAAGGTCAAGTCCGTGTGTTGCGCGCGAATGCGAAACGCAGTCCCGATAATAACGATCAATGGGTTGTTTTTTTATGTTCCAGAGGCTGCCATGTGCAACAAGAACTGCTCGCGCGTATGCTATCCGAGCGAGTTCTTTCCCGAGCTCAAAGGCAATCTCACGAAGATCGTCTGGGCGCACGCTGTGAACAGTATGGCGGAATTGGAGAAGGCACTCTCGTCAGGTAGGTCGATGGGGCAGTGCGATCGACAATGCGCGACCCCGGACTTCTATTCGTTCTTCGTTTATTGCCCTCGAAAGCTGAGGAGTAGTGAGGAGACAGACGACGCTGCTCTGGTTATTCTCGCGTGTTCAAATACCGCCGGCGGCCGGCGTTGCCGGCGACGTCGGTATTGCCTAAGATATTCCTAGTTTTCGTGGTTTCGATAGACATGCCTTGGATTGTTTTTAGGTAAAAATGAGTCAAAAATTTTTTTTTTAATTTGACAATCGAAAATTAAGCGACCCAACTGGCCAAAAATTCTTCTTCATTGAACCTCACGACATTTCGAATATAATTTGATACTTTTCAAGTGAGAGATTGTAGAAAACCAGCAAACATGTACGCAACAAACGTCATACGTCGCCTGACGTTGTGCCCTAACTACATCGTGCGTCAAAATAATAAAAATGTAAATGAGATAATCGGAACATCTTGTCCATTATATCCGAACCGTGTCATGGTCAAAGTCACAATGATTTGTCATTGTTTTTAATTTGAGACAAAATGCAGACATTGTGTCACTAAAGTACTAGCTTCGAAGTTAATTTCAAATATCAAGCTGTGTTTTAACTCGATATCTGAATTACGGCTAGCGCGGTTCGTTGCGTATTGGGAGTAAACCGTGTACCTATTATTAATCACGGAGCGGACACCCGCGGGTGACATACGTTATTTTTTAGTCGCTTTTTTATTCAATTTTCCGCTCTGCCGGCGAAATCCGTGACTTGGGAGATTTCGAACGAAGCAACGTTGCAATTTCATGTTAAAACGATGTACACAAAGATCGACATCCAAGAAATAATTTCATAGACATTAAGGAAATTTGCTTTCGAGGCGCTATCGCTCGAGGGTTAATATTAGCATTAACGCTATCTACGTCAATAAAATTGCAAAAGATAATAGTTGTACGATAAGATTTTTTAAATGATCGCCGACGGGCAGTGATAGGCTTTCGCAGATTTGACGGAAGAATAGCAACTGAAATTGCAATATGAAGCAATTTAGATATCCATCTAACCACGAAACTATTTACAAACGTGATAAATATTTAATATTGAGTAATGTCGCGAGGTACCTGTCGGAAGGTAACCTCCGCGAAAATGTCGCGTTTCGATGGCAATGCTAATTTACCGCGATCGAGTTCGCGACTCCCATCGACCGTCAACGTATTATTAGTTAATGAACTACGTGGCATTTCGCTGTCACATACGCACGGCTCTAGCCTTCGATGCTTTTTGTGTTTGTCACTTTCATGGATATTCCCATATATCAATATCGTCCGATTGTGCGACGCCTTTGTATGCACAACCCGCATACGATGACACGTATTTTTACATCGGCGCGCTTTAAATAATAGCGGCATGTCCTTGAAAAGTGCACATCCAGAAATATCGACAGCGAGGGAAAGAGCTTCACGCGCGCGGCGCGGCGGCGCGTCTGCATCCTGCATCCCCCGAGATTTTCTTTCACGAGGTTTTTCACGAAGCGCGAGTCCGTGTAAAATATAAGTCGCGTCGAGATCAATCTCACGTTTTTCGACAGCCACTTTTCCCCTTTGACATGCGCGCGCTTTTCATATGACGATCCCGAACGGATGTGCGAAACTTTTAAAAGGAGATCCTAACTCTCGAATTTAAATTTTCTACCTCCGTGCACGACTGGATCCTCATAGATAAGTCATTTGTACGCAGTCACGTCTGACGCGAGTTTTTTCGAAAAGAACATCCGCGCCTCCGCTGAATTTCAATGAGACGTCAAGGTAATCGCAGCTGACGGTCACAAAAAACGAAAGTCCGATCCTCGTTGTTCAATTTCGCGGCCGAGCGCATCGCTCAATTATGAAAAATCGTATCAAAATCGCTAGAGCCGTCGCGCGTCTCTAATAAATCTTCCGCGAATCTTTTTACTATGTCGGAAGAACGTTCATCACTCTGTTCATAATCTCCCGCAAATCTGTCTCGAAGCGCGACGTCGCTTTAATACCCGGTAAAAAAAAACCATCGCGATTTTGCAAAGCAAAAACGTCCCTTCGGTGCCAAGCGGTCCTCTGAAGCGACGTGAGCCTGTCGCTTCGCCTTCGGTCTTGGAAAAGCCAGAGTTTTCAGTCGTTGGAGCGTTAAACGCTGGCGGATATGTGGATCCGGCAGTCCTCCAGCCTCTTTAGGCGTGATCGATATTCGCCACACGTGTGTATGCACATACCCGGAACCCTCCCGCCCGACCGGTCGTCTCAACCACGGCTGCTGTCTCACACTCTCGCGCGCGCGCGCGCGCACACACACACAGACACACACACGTACCCGCAGACAACCGACTTTCTTTTTTAAAGGGGACGTCATGATGCTGGAGGCCGACGTCGTGATGGGCAAACTGAACAATACTACCAATTCTACCGAAATCCCAATAATGGCGCATCCGCCGGCCACGGAGAGCGATCTGTCGCTCGAGGAGTTTCTCAATATCAGCAACAAAAACGGCAGCAAGGGCATCAAGCTGGACTTCAAGTCCAATGAGGCTTTCGAGAGCAGCAAGTCTATCCTAACAAAGTTGCGACCAGCGGTGCGTATACACATAAAAATGCATCGCTCGATTATCTGGAACGTAATTAAGCAAGCGTAATAAATAAAAAGATATTTGTTTGTCCAGTTGAAGTACCCCGTTTTCCTCAATGCGGACATTCTTTCTGGACCGGTCAACGCTAATACCACCGCTCCGCTTAATGCAAAAGATTTCCTGAAAGGAGCCAACGATACCATACCGGAGGCTGTTCTCTCCGTCGGTTGGACTACCAGGTAAACAACTATCGGCATGCACGCTGAACAGAGTAACAGCAGTTTCTAATATGCAACCTTGTAATTAATCAACCGTATAAGCAAAGAAATATATATTATGACCCTCACAAGATCTCTTATAAACAAAAGGGGTTATAAATATAAGTCCCTGAGAGAGAGGAGATAATTCAACTTAGCGTTAATGGAATACATATTGAACGCACGTCAATATTAAATACGTGCTTTTAATATGTCGTATTAAAGACGTCAATATTATAACGAGAACGTCTGAGGACTCGGCAGATAAATAATAAAGAGAAAATCTTTAGATTCAATAACTAAAAAAATCACTATTTTCATGATCCATAAGATTCTAGTTTTTTACATTCTTTTTTTTACAAATACAGCAACGTGCAAAGAGAATTCTCCTTATTCGATCTATTATACTAACAACTAAAAGCTAATGTAAATTTTCGCCTAGCCGCATGATGTGTGGATTGAATCTCAACGATTCCGTCAATATTTCAGGTACGGAAAGGAATTCAACATCACCGAGGGTCGATACACCACGGAGCAGCTGAAGAAGATGGTCGATACTCTCAAAGAGAATCGTGTCACCCAGCCGGTAACTTATCCCGTACGAGCTGGCCTCGCGGCGAACGATATCGATGGCATAAACGCGTTGTTGAAGAACACAACGTTCGCCAACGCGACCCTGACGATCTGGTCGTCGGAGGGCGATTCCGTCGACGCCGCGCAACTTTCGAAACTGATCAGAGAAGTGGGAGTCGACAAGGTCTACGTGGACGTGCCGAAGGACTTGAGGAGCAAGCTCAACCTCTCGGGCGCGTCCGCGATGACATCCGCGGTGATGATGAATTTGGGCGCGTCGCTGGCGCTCTTGGTCCTGTCGAGGATGCTGTAAGGTCGAAGACATAGAGTAGCAGACGTAGACTTGCGGTGAGATTCGAGAAAAGGGGAGGGAGCCCTTCGTCCCGGGGCGGGGGAGGGGGGCCTCTTGATAAAGAAACGAAAGTACGAGCGAACGACGAACTCCGATAACGATCGCACGCCGTGAATATCGTTTGATCGCCATCGCGATTGTTCAGTCGGTTCTTCGTCCGATTCATCGGCTACATTTCTTAAAACGTATACCTCTCACGACATCCGATGTTCGCAGCGAACAATTTCCGCAGCGAGATATTTTCCACGCGAGATTCCCTATTCCGAGAAAGAATAATATGCCCGTTTTTTGCCGATAAAATTTGTACTTAAGAGAAATTGTTCAAACGACACACAAAACACAAGCCGATTGTATAAAACTTTCTTTTTTAATATATCTGACACAGTAAGTAACGTAAAAAAAAAATAACGCCTGCGTATGTGTAGGTAAACGCGTTTCAATTATATGGAGAATAAATAACTTTAATACCGTTGATAAACACAGTAACGCTTTACCTATTGTTAATTAATGTCTAAAAAGTTTCTTAATATTATATTATACGTATGTTAAATAAAAATCAACTGATAAACGTAGCAACCACACATACACGCAACCGATATGAAGGACGCGCGTCTCTGACAAATTGCCCCGAAATTTTTTATTAAAGTACAAAGTACAGCGAAATGGAAAAAGGAGCGCACCGTACGTGATTTCGTATCGAGTACTACTTGCCGTGCGTGCGCACACTCGTGTGTTTAATGTCCCTTCGTAATGTTCACCATCCTGTACCTGCGTTTAACATATCTCCGATTTAGGTGCAGCAACAAATTATATTAGTATATCTATGTAAGCTACGTATATTAAAGCCAAAGGATTTAAAAAAATGCAGTATACAATGCGAGGACGCATTGCGTTTGATAATGAGTCAATAAAATTACGCAAAATTATCGAGGAAATTCACTCGTATTCATTTATCCCGAATTACCTCAAAAGAATAGATTTTTTTCAATAAATAAAGATCAGATTATATAAAGCTTCAAGCCTACAAAAATTAATAGATAGCAATCTTGTAAGATCGTGTCGCTCTATGTGTAACAAATTAGTAGAACAAAATAGCTATTGTTTGCTAATTCACTAAGGCGTCTGCTCGCGCCATTGTCGTATATAATTACCTGTGAAAATGGAATGCAAATACCAACGACGCGTAGTCGCTACAAGTAATCTAACAGATTTGTCAGAAGGAATAATCGTACGCTGTAACAATGGCATTCTCTCTTATGCTGATGTCTAGATTTTACCTAGCAGCGCGGTAGATTTATGTGCATTTGTGTGACATTGAATATTAGAGTAGACCGCGCTCTGTTTATACATGATAACAACTACCGTTTTTTTTTTAAACCTTTATTTGTCGTTTCCATTTTTATGACGCTGTAAAGACTATTACAAAGATCCGCTTTCTTCATAAGCTACCGGCTGCGCGGAATGTTCCCGTTAACTACAAGGGGGCTAAAAAGGTTGGCGGAGGTTAAAAGGTTCTCATGAGCGATGTTTGCATTTAAGACACAGGGTGTAAGCCATAATAGGGTACGCGGTACATATTTGCTCTCCTCTGTTTGTCATCTAGTTATCTTCCAAGCGCTTCCGCTCGCGTTACTCGGCGGAAAATGGTTTTAATTGAATGGTAAATTCCTGAAACTTGTGTCATGAGACGACGGAACGTTCGCGAGATTCTTAGATGTTCATACAGATCAAGGTGTTGAAGGCGTTGGTCCTTCGTTGCAACTCGATAAACACGCCGCGCCGAGGCGGAAACGCGTTCCTCTCGCCGAAACGCGTCTCGAGCCTCATGGAACGACAGAGCCGGACACTTTCTCTCGCACACGGGGGATACGAGCCGCTGGTATTTCAAGGTGAACGTGGTGAAAGAAGAGGAGTATCTCCCGCGGGAGTACCGCGGGAGGTGTCCCGTGGTGTCAAAGGTCGCGCGACGAAGTGGCCGGCGGCCTTGAGATTACAGAAGAAGCTATTCCGGTTATCACAATCGGACTCCGACACGCGTTTTTCGTCGCCCCATCTCGCGTGGCCACTCAGCAGGTGCGCCGTGCAAAATGGGATTTTCTACGTGTGCGAGAGCGGCGACCATCAGACGAAAACGCATCTCGGAGATTGCTGGCCACGGCGGGTGTTCCGTGCTCTTTTTTTTTTCTCTTTTTTTTTTGCTTTGCAGCGAGAATCCCGAACCCAGTCCCTTCCCATCTCTTCCCTCCCGATTGCTTTTAGCGTGTTGAGCGTGATTTATTTCTGTAACGAAGAAAGTACTTGCGGCAAATCTATTCGGCACATTCGCGCGACAATCTGCCTTCGATCGTGCTTTTAAGAACGTCGAAAATAATCTAAACGTGTCATGTAAAAAATAAAGGAAGTTTTCCGAAAGTCTTCTACCATTTCTCATGTGTAACGAAAGATGGAAATCCAACTATCGCGGACGGAAAGTGACATTCCTGGAAGTGGCAAAATGACCCAAAAGCATAATCTTCACTGATAACCCGGATAAACTTGGACGAAAGGCGCGAGAAATCGGAAGAAACGTATAAATAAACTGTGCGATACGCTGATAGAGAAGTCGCGCAGAATTATCTATCGCTTGTGAATTCACAATACCGATGTGTCGCGACCCTGATCAGCTTTTTTTATTGCTAAGCTTATTTGCCGCGAATTTCATTTCTTGCGATTATATGTATTTCGCGACATTATAAATTATTTCATCCATGTTAACGCGCGGAATGTTCATGTTTAAACAATCCGATGGAAGATTAACGTTCCGACGCGACGTGTTGATTTCATAAAATCGACGAAAGCAAATATCACACGATTATGGTACAGTAGCCTTGATAATCATTATTGATATGATAAAGAACGATCGAGCATCTGTAACTTATGAATACATAATAAAATTTCTGAATAGATAACTATAATCACTCTTTTGGATGAAAAAAAAAAAGTACGTGGATTTCAATGTGCCTCTTTTTCGCATAATTTTTATAGCAAGCAACGAAGAGTTCTCGATTCTCTTTTAACTCATTCTATTACATTTTCAAGTATTCATAATCAATTCATTAGTCATGCTTTAATTTTAAGCAATCCGCGGCTATTTCCAGTCACGAATGCCAGCTGTGAAAACGTGAAAAATGTTCGTGCACGAGAAATCAATAGAAGGAACGAGATAACAGACGCGGCGACATGAATCTTTAAGTCAGTGACGTATGAAAAAAAAACTATACGTGCATTCGAAGGGGGCCCACGCTACGTTCCGTAAGTAGAACAAATCGGTACCTCGCGTCCGTTTCTCTTCTGGCACGAAAGGCGCGCTCCAATCCGCGTGACTAATCTCGTTTCGTGTCCACGAAAATCTTGATGGAACTCCACGTGACCGTGCGTGCTGCCTGTGAACGTTCTTTATCTCAACGATCACGCGGGTCCTTGCGTACGCCGGAACGAAGTTGCGCCTGCAAACGCGTATCGTCTGGATCGTGTGTAACACGAATAAAACGCCTCACGACGTCACGATAGACTTGTTTGTGATAAAAAGTAAATGGTTAAACGTAAAGAACATTATCGTTACAATTTACGATCAGGTGTGGCGGTTATTCGTCTCACCACGCGTCCATGGCGAAAGCTGGCGCAAACGCGCCTCCGAAATGGCACGCGTATGAGAGATTCTTAAAAAGGGAATTTACCCTGCCAGAGCGCCATTCATTTAACGAGAGCGGACCTCTCACCTCGTTAATCTGCGCGGCGCGCGATTACACGCGTTCCACGCATATTCCCGCCGGACGGATGCGATTTAATCGTCGTTTTAACGAGTCGGCGTTAACGAGCGCCCGTTTGTTCACCCCTCGCGAACCCCGACAAGTGGATGTACAAATTAACGCGGACGCGAGCGCCCGACGGGGCGTGAAAGCGAAATAATTAGAGAAATCCACCGTCGCCGGCGCTAAACGCCGCGTCCGTGCGCCGCTCGCCGTGATCGATAGATTCCGCGTTGTAAAATCAATTTTTCCGCCTCCTGGCTGCGCGGTCAACGCGTACCTATTACGCAACTCACACTCCCGACATTTAAGAAGATTAGTCCGACGCGAAACATTTTAATGATCGTGCAGCGTAAGAGCAATTTCGATCCTCTCGTGAAATCCGACGTTTAGCAACGTAAATGCATGTAAAGTGCAAATTCCAATTTTCGCCGATGCGCCGTAAACGATCGTGCATCGTGCGTCATTTCTCGAGAAAAAAAAGGAAACTTATGAGACTTGATTTCAAATGCCGCCTTGCTTTCACCGATCTCTCGATGTCTTGGCGAGTCCGGCAAAACGTGCGGATTGTGAAAACGCACGTGCGCGCAACAATCAGTTGGGTGATTTCCTGACAGAGACCCGATGTGATCTTCAAACTCGAGATGCGAGAGCACGATTGGTTTCCCTTTTCCAGCTTCCTGGCACGGGTCGGTATAGGTCCGGTTGGCATGACATTTCTTCGCGAACAGCAGGTCGCGCGCTATACAGATCGATCGATTGAATCGGGAACGGGGCACAATAACGTGACAGCCGTGACGGGGAGGGGGGCCGCCGTGTTTATTTATCACCGTAAGCACACCGCGGCTTTAAAGGGGCGACAAAAAGCACCTGCTGACCTCCGTGCGCGACGAAAAACCAGTCCTCGTTGTACCGGTTGCAAGGATTGGCATCAACGATCGGTGTCTTCCTTCCTCTCGCATTCGCTCTCCTCGCAGCTTCCTTCTCAATTTCTCCTTCCCTCGGCGTATCACGGCGAGACTTCCCCTACTCCCCTTTTTATCGGTAGGTACCGAAATCCTCTCTTCCTCTCCTTTCGGCTCGGATTTCGCGGCATCGTCGCTCTACTCCGAATCCCATCTCTGAATGGCGGCGCAAAAGTGAATGGGACGCCCGGCGAAAAGGCCAAGCCGCCGCGCCGCCGCGCCGGTCGCGGTCGACTGTCGTTCGACCCGGACGATCGTAAAATCGAGAGACGCGACAGAAACGTACGTTCCGCGCATTATGCGTGCCGTGGACGCGAACGAAGAAGATCGGAGGTAGGAGATTTCCCGCGAGGGATTAAAATTGCTCTTCTTAGCGTCGCTCGGCTGATACCCCCTTCGGCTTAAAAGCATTGGCGACCGTTGGATAATCGCCCGCAAAAAAAAAATGACTTTTGCGCAAAAGCGCAAGATGGATAGCGGTCTGATAACGCGTTTTTAACCTCGATCATCCATTAACTTTAAACTCTTACCATATGTCCTCCTGGAAGATACATCTCTGCTTCTTGTCATTTAAACTTGTTATTTCTTCCTCGAAACATTTGTTTCAATTCTTAGATTTGCGTAATTAGAAGAAATATTATTATTTTCTCTAATTTGATGTCGTAACTTTTATGCGTTAATAAATTATTCAAAGTAAACATAAAAAAGTTTTAATTTGCTATATAGCAGCTATATGATGATGTGCGTATCTCAACATTACTGTGGTTTAATGAAGAACTAAAAATCAATTAGAGCTTGTATTTCCTAAATAAAGTGTCTACTACTACAGGATAAATATCATTTCTATATAAATCCGCTTCATAATCGCTCACGATTAAGATACATTCAAGTAGAACGACACGTGTACCACGGGCTTCATTCGATATTAAATCAATTTAATGCCTTTTATCGCAGACAAGAAGCAATCTCCACAAGAGTCTAATGCGGATAATGTCGTGTCTATTCGAAATAAATTGTAAACCGGTTTCGACAAACGCGTGACACCAAGGACCACGAGGTCTCGCCACATTGATCTGCACCTTCAATTTTTTCTAGGCTTTCCGAACAACGCGACATATAAAGTATCGCTACCAAAACGCAATGATCTCTACATTCGAAAAATACACTTTGATCGAAATATCAGTTAACTCTTACGCTTACGCCATTTGTACATGCCATTTACATTCTGATGCGTGAACCACACCTGTGTTCACAGTTCTCCAACCTCGCTCGGCAAAGCGTGACAAGGCTGAGCATCGTTGCCCTCTTAGCTGTCGTACTTTATAATAAATCTGTCTTACAATAAATAGGATAACCAAATAAATCTCAGTGTATCTGTTTGCTCACAGTTAATAAAAAAAATCTATTTTCGAAGAGATTTATTCTTGAATCGCCTACACCCCTCTATCAAGAAAAAACAGTTCCTTTGAGTAATCGGAAGTCGACGGCTTTTTAAAGAGTTTATCTCTTTCGTACCCCTTTGTAGCACATCCGGCGGAGATGCGGCCCATCGCGTCCGCGGACTTGTCTCGCCCCCTCTCGCCCCTTTCCATACCGATGCCTATTGTTTCACGGTGCATCATCGCGGAGTCCGTGAAACAACGTGCACGGAGGTTTCTTGCGGAGGTAAAGGCGAAGGACGAAGGGGCGAAAGAGGCGACGGCGACGGGGTACCACGGCCGATGCGGCACGAAGGGGGCAGTGGGGGCGAATATCGCTCGCACGCATGCGCGGTGCGTTCCGCGATCTCTCAGGCAGGCCGGCGGCTGCTCCGGCTGGCCTCAGTCGTCCGCGACATTCTGTCCGCGATACGATTCGGCGTGAACGTGTCGTGTCCTCCTCCGGGTCCCACCGAAACGCCCGTGCCCCGGTCTAGCAAACTACCCCCCTCGAAGAAACCGGTGGTGAACAGAAGAGACACGTGATATCGCACTTCCGAAATCATCGGAATCGGATGATTACGTACGAAGGATATTGTTTAGGGGATATCCTCTTGTAAAAAAAAATATCCTGAAATAATAATCTGATGAATGAAGAATAAACGTTGTTGAATTGTCTGAAGCGTGGTGAACGAATCGAATTAGCCGGTAAATCGTGGACTCTCGGGACTCAAACACGGACACTTAATCATTTTTAAAAGATTAAGAGGGTGGATTTTTATTTGAGACCACTGGCAATTTGTGGAACGCGGAGCGGCGCGAGATGACATTGTCACGAATCGTCTTCGCGAACGAATCCCGGTATTTTCTGTGACATTCAGGTGATATAAGTAATCAGTGACGGGCACCGTTTCGCAGCGATCGCCGATTGCACTGGAACCGCGCCAAAAGGAGTCACGCTCGGGATTGCCCCGCCGTTTCAAGTTCCGCGGTCACCACGTGGTCAGTGCAACCTGGCCGCGACATCGCCGCGACGTGCGGTTAAATTTAGAGAGAGATAGAAACGAGTCCGTGGTCAGGGAAAATTGACGGGATTCCCGGAATTGAATTGTCGACTGATCAGCGTCGAGAATTCGACGGGGCGCGGCGCCCCCGTTTCAGTTCCGATCGATGGAATGCCCGACGTAATACCGATCGTCACGAGTGCTGTTGCTGCTGCTCGGCAATCGAGCCGGCTTGATGCGCCACTGAGGGACACGCGACCGGCGAGATATCGAAAGGTGATCGACAGGTGCGACCGCGCGAAAGCTGCAGTCACGTGGCCTGGGATGATGTAAGGTGACCTGAGAGAAACGGCGCTGCGGAGAGAGAGAGAGAAAGAAAGAGAGAGACGAAATGACGCGCGACAGGAGGCTGCTGCTGTTGCTGGGCCTGCTGATGGCTTACGGCCTCTTCGTGGTCGAATGCAGGTACCATCAGCGCGAGGACGCGACGACGACGGAGGCGAGACACCGACACAGGCACAGGCATGAGTCCTCGAATCGAAGAGGCCACCACGAGCTCGACAGAAGATCCTGGCAGGAGGTGGACTACGAGTACGACGGGGACTCCGAGGACCCGATCGACGAGGACGATTACGAGGCGCGATCGTATTACGATCATCCCAGATCGCATCATCGATCCGCGCAGAAAAGTTATCATAGTCGGTTCGAGCCGCGCTATCCGTCTAGGTATCACAACGGCGAATATCACGCTGGAAGCGACTGGTACGACGAGAACAACGGCAAGCGCAGGATCTCATCGCGGTACAATACGAAGAATCACCGATACAGACCCGGCAGGACCTACCACAGGCCCACATATTCGCGCAATCGCGACGCGTCGGACTTCGACGACGACACGTCGGAGGAAGATTATGATTACGAGAGGCCGCACAGGTACGGAAACGGCGAAGCAGATAAGCACCACGAACGGTGGAGGAATTCTAGGCGATACCCGCCCTCCAGGAGAGACTCGAGGAACAGAATGAACGGTCATCACGGTGCAAGAAGACATCGCTTGGAAGATCACGAGGACGTCGTCGATCGTGTCGACGTGACGAGATGGACGGACGACTGGAAAAGAAGATCGAACTCCTCGGACTCGAAATACCATTTCGCGAAGGACGACCGAAAGACGGAGGAGGACGAAGATTACGAGGATCACGGTGGGCTCGAGGAGGACGATAAAGACGAGGACGAAGAAGATATTTGGAAAGATATCGCGGACGACAGGAATGAGGACAACGAGGAGGAAGAATTCGATAACGATTTTTACAAAGGCGAGACAAAGCCACCCTTGAAAACCTATGACGATATCATCCGAAGGCTCACGTCCGACGATCCGAAAACTACTGTCAAGAGAGATTATCGGAATATCGAAACGAATAAGCATGTAAAGCGCGATGGCTACAAGAATGTCAAGCACGAATCGAGAAACGTCTCTAGGCCGATGGATCTCTTCACGGGCGCGCCTCATGCCGCTAGTACCACGTCCAATTATTTCGTAAATAAACGAACTGCGGAGAACTCGACCGTCAAATCCACTGGACATAAGCCCTCGAAAAACACGGTCGGTGATTCGGTGGTCAAGGACCACGATCGGCAGGAGGGAAAGATCGTCGATACCCAGGCTAAGACTAAAAGCCTTGAGCAGGATTACGACGAGTACCTGAACAGCCCGGATAATGAAAAGGAAGACGATCTCAAAGCTAGAAACGAGGACGACTCGGCCATGCAGGCAGATGTCACCAATACGGTGAGTAACAGTCATTGTGTGAAGAAAATTGATTTCTTAAGTCTCTCTCGACAACTAAAGCGAGTAAAACAGCAGGAGAAACTATCATAATTCCTTATGTTGCTAATCACGGCGTAACGAAGAGATTGCACAACCGTGACAATAACAGGATATTATTTAACAATCGCCGGCACGCGCAGACATGTAACACCGGCACACGTAATTCATGTTTAATTTTAATGCATAAATATATCCGTTACTACAATGTTCAACTTAACATAAAATTACAGTAATTAATTGCATTCATTGATTATTATCAATAAGTTAAATTATAAATTAAATTAAATTAAATTATTCTTGCTCGACAAGAATTATGTCAACCCTTCGTCTGTATACATATAGGTCTATGTCATCTGAGTCAAAATAATATCTGCTTATAACTGTAAAACTTGCAAGCCTGCTAGAAAATATTAAATAAAAGATATGCTTATTAATGACTGTAAAATCGTCTATTAATTACAATGTAGACAGATATTTTGTAATTTTTTTAGATTTTTTAAAAATACTTTATGATAAGGAAAAATTATTGTGTCAAACGTGACAGACCACTCCGAGGTGCAAAAAAAACGTGTACAGACGGAGGGTTAAAAAACCGTGTTATTTAACGGCGTACAGAGAATTGTTATAAATCGACCGAGTGTCATTGCGTCACGATATCGGAGACAGACCAACTTCGAAGCGCGGATGCAATTCGGTTTCCAAGAAATCGCGGAACGAATGAAAGAGCGCTTTCGTATGCATCCGATGCTGTCGCGAGAGCTCGAAGCCGTAAAGTCAGTTACCGTCGAGTTCTCCCCGGATCGACGTTACCACGGTGGAGATTAAGATCGAGTCAAGGGTTCGACTTGGCGAGCCACGTACGGTCGCACACGGTGAGCCCGATCTATTCGATGCTTTTCCTCGATCGCGAATGCGCTGCTACATTCGCATGAAACACCCAAGGAAAGAGCACGTGGCGCGAGAGACCGTCCTGTAATAACTGTACCCGAGGAGAACCCTCTCGCAGATCTATCGACGATCTCGGGCAATCGACGATCGTCTTCCGCATCTTTCCGGATACGTACGGTGATCCCGATCGTAATTCTCGTCGAACGCAAGATCAGATACTTGGTGAATCGCCGCTAATTTACCGTGCTATCATTTGCGAGAGTTCGCTTACAATCGCGATTTGCGTTTTCTCATTATGGTCGGTCCAAGGTGGACAGCCGTAGAATTATAGGATACAACACGTCCTGTGCCTTTTGCCAGCAATTTGTTTCGATAAACCGAGCGTGTCTTCGAAGAGTGTCATACTGAAAATAACGGGCTATGACAATGATTTACTATATGATGACGAAGGCAGCGAAAAGATTTATTTCTGACATATTTATATATTGGCTCGTTCGTGTTTACTATTAAAACTAATTTTGTCAACGCTAGGATTACGCAAAATGCCAGCGTGCCCGGCGAGCGTAAGCCGAAGATCACGAATCGATCGCTCTGTCTGTCATCGTAGCGTATAATAAGATCGACGGGATAGCGCATTAGAATTGCTCGTCATTCACGTAATTCACGCGGGACGTGGGCCAGATCATCCGAGATTGCTCGTTCCGCGCTGCCGAACTCGAGATTAACTTTCACGAGGAGCATCGGCGCCGAAGACAGCGCCGGCTTGCCTTGGAACATCATTTCGAATCTTGACAACCGTCATATTGCACAAAACGGACACCTGTCCGCTATAGCTGTAGCACTGTCACGCCCGTCAAAAATCATTTTGCTTCGCGAGCGACGACGTCTAGTTTAATATGTAAATGTCCTATATCCTATGCGAACATCTATTATTACTCGTTATAATTTGTCATTTCATATTACATTTATAAAAGTACAACTTGTCAGTGATATATTTAATAAATTACGTTTTGTAATAAATAATATCCAACAATCTATATTAAATAATTATTTTTACATTTAGTTATTAAATTAATTAAATTAAATTATTAAATTAATTACACATTGAGATTTAATTTATGTAAATTTCTCATTTAAGAACAAATTAATGAGACATTCCGTAAATTACAATCCGTGGACTACAATGTTAATTATTTTCTCATCGGTGCACATTGCCAAACTCATTTCGCGGCTCCTCAAGATTGTTTAAGTGCTCTGCTTCTGAGAACAACTTCAGATGCGTTCTATTATGGACGCTTAACGTTATTAATGACCGGCGTATATCTGCGTAAATCGCAACGTCGGTGATTCCCTTCATCTACACAGAGCCAAGATTAGATTGACCTTGGCAATGCGAACCAGCATCAGCAGTCCGGCAAAACTTCTCGCTTCATTCGCGTCAAAACTTCTCAAATTAACGTTCGCAGACCTGACCTCGGAAATCGCCGCCCACTAGGCGCCAATCGTCTGCCAGACTTCACTTGACAGCTTGATCGTCAACAGAAGACCGATGCAATAACAGTTCGAAGAATTTGTTTACCGAACGCGAAATTCCATGGGGAAAGAGATCCAAAATAATTTTGCAAAGTGCTCGCATCGCGCGTTGTATCGATACGAACCCAGAAATATCGTACAAGCAATTTCACGAATACGTCACGGTATATTCCAAGAAAAAAAATATATAATACCAATAATACTACAGCACATGTAGAATTAATATAAGCGGGAAGAGATTAATTCGTTACTTTAGAAGAACGTTTCGACAACGAGGCTGCAACGAGCCTCATCGCTCTGATGCCTTATGTGCTCCGGCGTCAAACGAGAAACGCGATGCGTGCACCTTAATTTCGCGGTAGCTCGCAGCGACGGGCGGCCCCGACGAGCAAAACGACGATGCACGTCCACGGCGGCTGTCGTCGCGATCGTGCTTTACCTTTTTTTGCGCCAATTTACAAAGGTAAACTCGCCACGTTCCATCGACTTCTGCATGCCGGCCGGAGCGGAATTACCGCGGCCGGGGGTAATTGAGCAATTCCACCGCGTGTACGTTGTCCATCCGTGGTTTTCCGTCGTAAATTCACGGTGCACCGATGCCGAACGATCAAAGAGAATCCTCCACCGCCACCGCCACCGCCACCGCCACCGGCCGATCGGGCTACCGAAGGTTTTCGGTTTAAGCGACCGCAAATTTTATTGTCCTATGCAATATGGAAGGGAGACGTACGTGGGGACGGACGACAATTAGACTTTGCATATTTAGTCGATGATTAATCCCAATGACCCACATACGACGGGAGAACATTGAATTAACGCTCGCGTACATGGTAAAATTAAATTAAACGCGAATAATTCGATGCTTCGCACGGCGGCGACTTGAAAGAAACCTTCAATTTTCTCGTATATCTTTACCCACGTTCCGGTTTACTGAGCATCTTCAAAAGGCGCACGGCTCGCGATTTGTGCGGAACCGACTAGCGTTAAATTTAATTACGTTAGATCTTCGGAAGATAAATAGTTCGGAGCAATACTTATTCGCAATATGCACCTTCAAACGCCAAGGAATGTCGTAATATATTGGAATGAAGATAACGTTTGTTTCAAATATAGGAAGCAAAAGTAATGGACATTGTTACCATTGTTCTTTCTTATTAATAGCACGCGAATGCGTCGTTCAGGCCTTAATCCAGCGTTTTCTTTATCGTTTCGCACGTCTATCTAACGACACTAGGTTAATCCGCAATTGACCTACCTCTTAGTGAAAAACATCTTGTGCAACGTAAAAGTATCGGTCTCATCCTAGACGCTAATATGCTAGTAAATGCATGTTAACCCTATCTTGTTCGCTTCTTAGGATTCTGGTTGAAGCTTCGGAAAAATGACGTTCGAGCGTTATCAAAACCGGGAAAATCCATCGTCGTGTGGAATTTTATGATTATTGTCATTTGCTACTTATGGATGAGCGCTAGAAGTTAAAGTTCGCGAGAATATATCACAAATATGCCGTTCTTCGAATCGAGAGTTCAATTTATCTGTGCATTATCAAACAAATCTTCTACGTTTACGTTTTATCTTTCATGCATTTCTCGCGAAATAGATGCTGTCTACTACGATAAAACATTCAAAAGTAAAGAAATAATTCTTCGAATTTGAGATCGTTTCAATACACGGCTGTTTCGAAAATATTTTCAGATTTCAATCGACATACATCGTAAAATCTCCATTAACGCCTCGTATACACACCAATAAAAAAGAGATAATCACATTCTCAATGATTACAGACTAAATATTGGCATATTCCCCGTTAGTTTTTCTAAGCGAGTCATCCTCGTATTTCACCCCCGGTGCGCATGTTACATCCGGAGAGCGCTCTATAGATGCATAGCAGCCTCTCAATCTCGGGGGAGAGATGCGATACGTTTCAACAACCTTCCTGCCTCGCCTCGGTAAACAGTCGATGGACTTCGCGGAAGCGCTGTTTACGCGAAGCTCTTTCGGTGTTCCCTTTTTTCGATCCATCCGTTCCCTGCGCGCTTTCAGACCGGCTCCATCCGCGAAGAGAGCTCCTCCTTCGTCTCGATTTCACGCAACCGCGTGCCTCCAATGCGCGCGCTCTCTCTCTCTTTCCTCTCTCCCGAGTAGGTACGCATCGCCGAAACATACTTTCGTCCGATGGTGTGCGCGCATTAAGAAACGACTTTACCACCTGACCGCGCCGAGGAGCGCTCATAAATCCGCCGTAAAGCTCATCGCGGAAGCTCGTTACCGCGACGCATAAAATGCGGCCGGCGCATCGCGAAAGATCGCATCCGCACCGCGAAGGAAGGATCCGGCGAGAGGGGATCCACACGAGTGCGGATTTACGGGCGACACGTAACGCAACGAGGCATGAATTATAAAGCATCTGGATGAGCCCTCCCTTCCCGCGCCGCAAAAACCGCCTTCCATTTTCGGCGATCGTAAAATGCCGGGCTATTTTCGTGGGTGGGTAAAATACACTGATGGCACGATGTTGGTTACATGAGCGAAGAATTATC